AGGCAGAACGGCAACGACTTGATCCGTATGTCTGAAAGCAGTAATCAGAGGACAGACAGAATCGAAACCTCGAAGGTCATTGAGAAGATCTAGTTCGTTGAGAATTCGTGAAGGGCTGCTGGTGACATAAATCTTCTTGATCGCAACATATTTCGGCCGCCGCCGTTGTTGCGCGTATTCGTTCATATCCGATAATGTTTGCATCCCCATGCGGCGTTTCTTCACGGGTGGTGACGTCCATTTATTTTCCTTTTCCTCAATGTCCCAATCATTATCGTAGTGCTCGTACAACAGATCCTCAGCCTTGTAAACAGTAGAAAATGTTCCTATAACGCGTCAATATAGTGCTTTGAGAATAAACGAGAAGTGAATTACCCTCTCCAATTCGGTTGATGAGGCGAAACCGGTCTTTAATTCCTTTGAACGTTTCCTGAAACTTGTCCATGTCTTCTTGGACCTTGGGATCAACCACATCATCGCTGTCGTCAGAATAGGCGTCGGAATATTCGCCCTCGTCCTCCTCCTCAATGCCCTCCATCTCCCCTCGTGATTCGTCTATTACGACCTCTTCCTCCTCGGGGGTCTCCTCCTGTTCCAGGACGTCTGTGTGGATCTCAAACGGCGTTCTCGCGTTCCGAGGGCGAACTGTCGCCATCTTGGAGTTTGGGAGCTTCAAGTACAATCGTACTAGAGGAGCACTCAAGAAGCAAGAAGAGTGACTTGCGGAAGCGTCGCAATTGGTTGTTTAGTGTCAGGTACAGCCTGCAAGTCAACGACGGCGGGGTGTGAACAACAGCCAATTGGAGCTACGCCCATTCGGGACGCGAACAAAACAACGCGGTTTCCGGGGCGAATGTCAACACCGAAGAAAGCATCATCACTTTGCGACAACCTCGAAATACGGCCCCTTCCACCATTTGTTGATGTCTGCTGCTGCGCATTTTATTACTGCGCCTACTCTTCATCATGGACTCCATTACTTTCGACATTAACGATGCCCTCAAACATTACATGAGCGATCCCGCAACAATCTCCACCCCAGAAGCCGATGTTAACCTGGTTGACTGCGAGAACGATCCCGAATCCCTCACCAACTCCCTGATCAACACAGTGCTAAATCCCATCGTCGACTCCGTAGCAGAAAGCCCTGATGCGATTACAAGGAGCTCTTCATTTGACTCATTGCAATTCTTACTAAAGTGTGCCCCAGTTTCCCTTGAATCCAACCAAAATTACCCTACACAGCCAGATTCTAAGCTCTTCAAATTATCTAGATCTTCCCCCGTCCTTCCCACACACGCCCTAAGCAAGATTCTCGATCTTGTTGTCTCGGGACTCTCGACGGAAGCCGACATTATCCATAACGATCTTGAATCCGACGAGCAAGAGCTCATTTCACACCACAAACAACTGCTGGAAGTCTTTGGGTTCCTATTACAATGGACCATTGCTGCTGTCGAAACGAAAGCGGCAGAGAAATCGAGTACAGCACCAGCCGCAAGAGGCAGAGGCAAGGGTGCCAAGGCCAAAACTGCAGGGAAGGATAAGGATGGAAACTGGGATTCGTCTGCCCAGTTGCAGACTGCACTCGACATTATGTGCAAAGTTCTCAAGCTAAAGCTTTCAAAAATATTCCTCACCACTTCGGAGCGAGATACATTTATCAGTCTGTTCACCAGGCCGGTTTACATGGTTCTGGAAAGCGAGCAGAGGGTCAAGAGTACGGCGATTCGGATGCACGCCTTCAAAGTTCTGTGTATTGCAGTGAAGCATCACGGTCACGGCTATGGTAAGGATTTTTGGCGAGGTGTGTCCCGAGTTTAATGTTGACTCATATTTCTAGCTGCCCAGATCTCCATTGTACAGAATTTGACGTACTTCGAGCATCTTGCTGAACCGATGGCTGAATTCCTGCATATCCTCTCAGAACAATACGACTATCCACAGCTCGCAGACGAAATTCTTCGGGAATTGAGCAACAAAGAGTTTAATAGCAACGATACGAAAGGCCCGAAGTCGGTCTCTTCCTTTATTGTTAAGCTTTCTGAACTGGCCCCCAGATTGGTCATCAAGCAAATGACAATGTTGGCAAAGCAGCTGGACAGCGAGTCTTATGCCTTGCGGTGCGCTCTCATTGAAGTCTGCGGTAATTTAGTGGCCGACCTGAGCAAGCAGGAAGAGCGTGGAGACAACTACAAGTCCCAGTTAAATGCATTTTTCGATGTGCTAGAGGAGCGATTCTTGGACGTCAATCCATACTGTCGATGCAGAACGATTCAGGTCTATATCAAACTTTGCGAGTTAGAGCAGAAGTTCCCGAAAAGAAGACAAAAGGCTGCAGAATTGGCAGCCAGAAGTTTAGAGGACAAGAGCAGTAACGTTCGACGAAATGCCATCAAACTATTAGGGACTTTGATCAAGACACACCCTTTTAGTGTGTTGCATGGATCTCAACTTTCCCAAAAGGAGTGGAATGCCAGATTAGACGCCGTGGACGCCGAACTGAACGCCCTAAAGCCCCCTGCCGGTACCCCAGGATTAGTTGAAGGCAAAGCGGATCAGACAATCGATCCGGGTCTGGTGGATGATGCAACAGTTATCGAGTCCGGGTCACCAGAGAAGCCAATGACGGACGAGCAGAAGATCGCAGCAGTCCGGAAAGCTCAAGAGGATGCCGCAACTTCGGAGGCTATCAACAAGCTGACTTTGACACGGAGATACTATGTCGAGGCTCTCAAATTCATTGAGGTTTTACATGGAGCGACTAGCGTCATCTGCCAACTTCTTGGCTCTAAGAACAAGAGCGAAGTCATTGAAGCTATGGACTACTTTGAGATCGGCGATGCGTACAACATTGAGCAGAACAAACTTGGTATTCGACGAATGCTGAGACTGATCTGGACCAAGGGCAACAGTGATGAGGGAAAGGGAGTCCAGAACCATCTCATCGAATGTTATAAGCGACTGTTCTTCGAAGCCCCAGATTCTTACAACGCCAACGATGCGGCAAATTACATCGCTCGCAATATGATCAGTTTGACTTTCGGGGCTACGCCTGCCGAGTTGACTTCTCTGGAGCAGCTCCTCAGCACCATGATGAAAGCCAACCATATCACTGAGCTTGTCGTGTCAAAGCTTTGGCAAGTCTATGGTGTTCAGAAGAGAGAGATCTCGAAGAGTCAACGACGAGGTGCTATCATCGTTCTTGGCATGCTTGCTACGGCGAAGCCAGAGATTGTTGTCGGAGAGATGGAGACGATGCTTCGAATTGGCTTGGGTGGTCTCGGTAGATCTGACCTACAACTGGCCAAATACACCTGCATCGCTCTTCGAAGGATCAACCCAACTGGACGTCAAGCCAAGGAGACTAATGTACAGACCTCCAAGCTTACAAACGACCATGCGGTACTTGTGAAACTTGCAGCCATTATCGAGATCGAATCAGACAATAAGGAATGGTATGGTGTTGCTGAACAAGCTATTAGTGCCATTTACACCTTGTCAAATCATCCCGATACACTTTGCTCAGAGATTCTACGAAGGAAGACCCGACATGTCTTTGCACAACGGACCGCAAAGACACCCGAGCCGGAGCAAGAGGCAACCCAGCTTCAATCACCACCTCCGGAGCCTACTACGGAGGCTGAGCCAAAACTGAAAGGCTCAGTTGCTCTGTCGCAACTACTGTTTATTGTAGGACACGTTGCAATTAAGCAGATTGTTCACCTTGAGCTTTGTGAGCTTGACTTCAAGCGAAGGAAGGCAGAGTCTGAGAAGAACAAAACTTCAGAGAAGCCTGAGGATAAAGCAGCGAAGGAAGCTGCTGATGATCTTGACATGATCGGTGGTACGACGGAAGATGATTTCACTGAAGCCATGACACACATTCGAGAACGAGAACTTCTTTATGGCGAGAACTCGCTACTTGCGAACTTCGGGCCTTTGGTATCTGAGATTTGCTCGAACAACACGACATATCGAGATCGTAACCTGCAAGCAGCTGCAACGCTCTGCTTGGCGAAGCTAATGTGTGTGAGCTCTGAGTACTGCGAGGCTAATCTGCCCCTCTTAATCACCATCCTGGAGCGTTCCAAAGATCCCATCACTCGATCTAATGTTGTCATTGCTCTTGGCGACATGGCTGTTTGCTTCAACCATCTGATCGACGAGAATACCGACTTCCTGTACCGTCGTCTCAATGACAAGGACGCCAGTGTCAAGAGGACTTGTCTCATGACACTCACATTCTTGATTCTCGCCGGTCAAGTCAAGGTCAAGGGCCAACTTGGAGAAATGGCCAAGTGTCTCGAAGACGACGATAAACGAATCGCCGATCTGAGTCGCATGTTTTTTACCGAGCTTAGCACGAAGGATAATGCTGTGTACAATCACTTTGTCGATATGTTCAGTTTGCTGAGTGCGGAGAAGGATTTGGAAGAGGATGCGCTGAAGAGAATTGTTAAGTTCTTGGCTGGATTCATTGAGAAGGTACGTTGCTGCCTCCCCTATGCCTGTGATGCCATTGCTAATTCATTTAATAGGACAAGCACGCCAAGCAACTCGCAGACAAGCTTGCTGCCAGATTACCCAGATGCGAGACCGAGAGGCAGTGGAACGATGTAACATATGCGCTCAGTCTGCTTCAGCACAAGAATGAGGAGATCACGAAGTTGGTCACAGGTGGATTTAGAGTTGTGCAGGCTAGTGCTTGAGGGAAGAAGAGAGCTGTATGATATATGAATAACGTAGAGTGGACTTACTTTTGACTGGGAGGCTCGGCATGACTGGAAGCGGGAACTGGCGTTTATTTGTTTTCTGTAATGCCATGATGAAATGAAGACCCGAACCCTCTAAATTTGCTTATAAACAAAACCTCCCCCTCCCTCAGAAAAGGACCGGCATCATGACAAAAAAAAAGTAGCTCCAAGTAATCCAATCGGATCTCCAAAATCTAGCAAATCATTAGGTTGCAAAAGAAAAAATTTGAAGGAAATAATTGATGCCTAATAGAGGGTTCGAACCTCTGATCTCTCCTGTACCTCGTGAAGCACCACTTCCTAGATAGGGTAGGAAGTGGTGTTATGTGAGAGGAGCGACTTAGCCACTCGTCCAATCAGGCAGGTTTATTTATTATTGGGAAATTGGTTATTTTAGTATGTAAAGGTCAGGGAGAAGGATGGGGGAAGTGAAGCGTGAAGAAAGGAAGGAAGGAAGGAAGGAAGGAAGGAAGGAAGGAAGGGTGGAGAGGGGTGGCTAAGCGAGAGTGGTGGGGAAAGGAGAGAGGACTGCTTATGTATGGAGTGGGTATGTGTTTTATGTGTTTGATGGGCTTACTGCACTTAAGGGAATGAGGTCTTTCGGCTTTTCCTCTTCATTTTTGCTGGATGAAGATTGGTATTAGCTCCATTTGGGAGATGAAGCTGGGAACTCTGCTTACCTAGTTGTGGTTCAAATCGCGGATGGCCGTGGAGAAGATGGCATACAAAACACTTCTAGGGCTTTTGTCGGTTGCGTACCGAAGTCACATAAATCATAGGAATAGTCAGATTTGAGGGTAATGATGATTCTGATTCTGATGTCTAAAGAACTAAGAGAGGCCGAACAAAGAGATGCCTTGTATGCTGTCGATCGGAGCTAGTCTCTGGGGGAGAACAAGGGGGGGCCATACACATGATACCAACTGACAGCTTTTCAGCCGCAATTATTGTATACTTTACGTTTTATTTCTGTGGCATATTTCTTGCCCAAGGGAGTAGCTTCAATATTTAAACTACAGCCTATAAAACGAGGTGATGCTTCAATTATTCTTTATTCAGACTATTGAAGCCTGTTACAGCTTCCAAGACACCACGGACAAAATTTTTCTTCCCTGGTTCATGTGAGTAATGCATCTACCTGTGCTGTAATATCAGGATAAAAGAACTGGCTGGCAGGCCCCGCCGTTCCGGGGACAGCAGAGTCTCCGAACGGTATCAGGTTCATGTAAATCGCACTCCCGATCTGCTTGACCGCCGTACAGAGCAGACTCCCATTAGGATTATTGTACGTAATGAGGCCCAAATACTCGGCAGCATCCCACAACCCGTCTTTAGATCTGAATACCTTGACACCCGCGAGATCTTCCGCGACAAGCAGCACGGTGCCCGAGTATCTATTTGGAAGCGAGATAGCATCAGGTAAGGAGAGATTCTGCGGCGGTGTCGTCGGGATAATGTATGGCACCCCCTTCGCAGCTTGCATATCGAACTTCCACAGCTGTCCCGAGCCGAAATCTGAGGCAAGCAGCATCCAGTCCTTCGAAGCCAAACCAGTAAGACCCGTGTCTGTCGAGATATCAGGCAGTGCCTCGTACCATGGCGTCACCCTCTTTCCGTCACAGCTCACTTTCAAGATACTGCCTGGATACGTGCCGACCACGTAGACGTTATCATCTGGGTCTTGCTGTACATCTTGGTACCCGCCGTATTTTCCTTGCGTTGTTTGTGTGAGGTTGATTTTGTATGTCAAGGCGTGTGCAGAAGGGTCCCATTGCAAGATATAGTTTGTGCCGGTGATGTTGGCGCCGAAGGAGTTAAAAGCGTCTCCTGCGTCAACTACAATTGACAGTAGGCCATTGCGCTCATCAACTGCTACACCTCCGATGTGGAAATTAGGATTGTGTGAAATGCCGGGGAATTGGAGAATTTCAATGATCTTGTTAGCGTAGGGGTCGTAGACTCCAACTGTTGCGTTCCAGAGACATCTATTTGAAAAGTATTAATTTGAATAGTTCTAGAGTTTGAGTGGAGACAGACCCTAGGTACAGGAGGCAGTTATCCGTGTCGAAATCAAGATTCTCTGGATACAACTGGTATTGATCAATGGTGAAATTCCCAGAAAATGGTGGACAATGGCTTTTTGGGATAGGTGTTGTGGTGGTTTGGGGAAGTGCTGAAATAGCTTTCACTGCTATCGCCGTGAACAATGCTAATGTTGCTTTCATCATGAAAGCTCTAAGCTCAGAGCTCAAATCCAAGCTAAACCGAGACGATCTGAGAAGGCAGAGCTAGGGACACTACGTATAATTAACTATGGCGACTGAGTCAGTAATGAGAAATAGCCTTTACCTTCCAGGCAGAAGCTGCACTTTTTATGCTTTTCGAGTACAGATGTAAGCTCGAGCCTCCTGCGCCCTCTCTCTGCTTTTGGCCATGGGACAAGGCGGTGACTGGATAATTGCCATCTTGCAATCTTGGCACTGCAGTTCCTGGGCATTCTCCAGCTGCCTGCCGTATCGGTGTTGAGGATCAGGTCGCTATAACGTGCTATTGGGTGCTCGAGAGCTGGCGTGCCTGTCCCGCTGACTTGCAGAAGGAAACACCCGGTCCCTCAGGACTGCATCTGCATTGGCGGGGACCAGCACATGGAAGTGCGGTGGGGCGCCAACCATTTGATCCCAGGAGCTGTAAAGTTTGAAATCAAAGCTACCAAGGGTCTTGTACAGCAGGAGAGAAGCATTTCGAGCTTAGAAAATACACCTCTGGGGCCTTGCTTTTCTTTTGGAAGCATGGTGGGTTCGTCGATGACCCCGCTCCCCGGATGAGATAGGCGTGGTAGGTGCTGGATATGATATATGGGTGTCGAATGGAAACTGCAAGATCAGATCTTTCTGAGCTGGCATTTTGTGTTAAGAATAAGTGAGTAACGGACTGACTTTAGAAGAAGAGCAAAAAGACTTTGAATGGACCAGTTTGTGCTAATTTTGGACCAGCGATTGTCTTCTGGAGAAACGCATAGTGGGGCCCATCCCGCTGTCAGTGTTCAACCCCGCGGTGGGAACCCCACTTCAACAACAAAGTCATGTCGACTCTACGTCGAGGCCAGGACATTAACTTCCTCACGAAGACTTACTTGTGACCCCTGACTGCTGTTCAACCGCAGACTGATCAAAAACCGTCTGCCCAGAGTGGAGCAAACACACTAGGGTATTTATTATAGAAAAGACGTGCGCGGTAACTCAGAAGGCAGTATTCGGAGCGTTCTATTATTGCCCCGGGGAAGTTCATCCTCGCACCGTGCCAGCGGCTTGAGTCATGCAGAAGGCGTCAAGGCGTGCGTTGGGCAGCCCCAGCATGTTCGCTGGGGCAGTCTAGGCCTGAAGGTAGTGGAAATACGAGGGTACGTCGTAAGACACTCGCGCCCAAGTCGTACGATAGAGGGAGACTTCGGCCTCGAACAAAAGGGAAAGCCAACGTTTGTTTAGAATCTAGATAGTCAGACAGACTTAACATCGTTCACTTTCCATGAGAGTCTTGAGTCTCAAATCTCAGAGACAAGACTCACGATCAAGGGCCAGGCCTCCCACCAGCCTCGGCTCTTAAAAATGGATCTAGCGGTCTTCCCTGAAACGCAACTCAGATTCGCTGCCTGCCTACGCCTACGCCACCTTCCTTCCCATTCACATTAATTCTCCATCTGGGATTCTCGCATTCACAAGAAACACGGCATTCACAAGAATATCGCGTTTCTAATATCTCACTGATTGGCCTCCCCGCAACTGTCAAAAAGAGGCGCATCCGAGTGGACGCCATCTCGCTCACTCTTCTCCCGATGCTTGGTATCTTGGCTCGAAGGATTTGAGGAGATGGCATCGTACGACTGCACAAGCCAGAAAAAGCCATTTTTCTTCGTTTTCCCAGTCCCAAATGTCCGGAGACAGGGGCTGAGACAGTTTTTTGGGAGCTGGGAATCCGGAATCCGGGGAAAGTCTTCCGGTGATTTTCTTCTTGGTTGTGATTGATCAATCGAACCTCTTCCCCAGGTCGCCCTCTTAATGCTACACTCCGCTGCGTTTGGGTCGAGGTCTCCTTGAAAGAGATGTCGAACTTTCTGTTGGCGATGTGAAGCTGATTGGTATATCGACCACAATTATTACTGGTTCTGCGTTCTTTTCGGTCCTGATACAACGCGTTTTGGCAAGGTGGAAACACATGAACATGAACCAAGATGTCAGTAGCGGGGACCGAGATCCCATGCTCGTCGGAGTCTCCTGGCTTTTGGTATCTGTTTCTGGCGCGTTTCTGTCCTTGCGTATATACTGCAAGTTCAAGCGGAAGCGGACTCCATGGTGGGACGACTACATTTTGATCTTTGCGTGGTGAACAAGACTTCCCCTCCGCACAATTGACATCCTACTTACAAAAGAAAGGGTATGTCTACTCATAGATACCTGTTTGCTCACAGTAATAACATCGCTGGGTTTCGGCAAGCACTACCTCGCCATCGACCCCTCAGTCCTGCCACAAATATGCCTCCTCGGAATCATCTCCGGCGTCTTCGCTATCTTCGCCGCTATCTATAGCAAGACCTCCTTCGCTATAACCCTCCTCCGCATTAGCGAAGGTCGGACGAAAATTCTTCTCTGGTTCATCATCATATACGTTAACCTCGCCCTAGGCGGCTCAGCGCTCATCCCATGGATCCAATGCCATCCCGCCTACAAGACCTGGTACAAACTGACGCCAGGCAAATGCTGGAACCCGAAGATCTACGCAGATCATGGGATGGTTGCGTCAGCGTACTCGGGAGCAACGGATATCTTACTCGCTTTCATACCGTGGAAGATGATGTGGAATCTGCAGATGAAGGGGAAGATTGGTGTGGCGACGGCAATGAGTATGGGCGTCTTTGCTGGGGGGGTGGCTTTAACAAAGAGTGTCTACAACCCGCTTGTAGCCAGCGGAGATTTCAGCTGTATGTCCCATCCTCACTTTTCTCTTTCCTATTTCTTTGCTTGACACTTACTCCTCTGCTCTCAACAGATGACGGTGCAAACCTAGTCTGGGGCCAAATCGAGTCCGCAATCTGCATCATCGCCGTCTCGATACCCGTGCTGCGCGCCCTAATTGTGGAACACGTTCATAGCCAAGAGAGAGTAACGGGGGAGACAACAGGCGATGGCGGACTACGGACCTACGCCACGAATACCACCGGTGTACGCCCGCCTTCGTTTGTCTTTCCGGAGGAGGAGGAGAGCAATACTACTCCTACGACGACGTCGGAAATGGTGAAGGATTGGATGGATGGGTCGCAAGACGCACTACCGTAATACGGTCTTCTAGACGGAATGAACTTGCTGGA